CACGATCGAGTCCGGGACTAACGGCATTAGCGAGATTGGCGAGCTGCTGGAAACTCGCGTAACTGAGCTACCCCTTCACAGATGGCGATACACCAGCCAGCTCGCGACATCGGTAAAGAAGATGCCGTAGAACGGAAAACCGATTCCACAGTCCCCCCCCGACCATCGTCGATCCACGATTCCAATCGATTCTCGAGAGAAATTACACGGGAAAATGCTAGACACTCGTGCGCTACTTTTTCCTTTCCCGTTACGCGACAAGCGAAAGCGCGAGATGGCAATTTTATACCAGAGGCGCTCCGTTTTTCCGCGAAGCGACAGAGAAACAGGGGCATTGATCGATCGATCGCATTTAAAACAGAGGATAGTACGATCAAAGGATAACGATAGCAGCGGAGAAACGGGAACAAGAAGAAGAAGAAGAAGAAGAAGAAGAAGAAGAAGAAGAAGAAGAAGAAGAGGAGCCAAGAGGAAGAGGAGAGAAAAGAGGAACGGAGATGCGGACGCGTACGGATTCGTGGGCTGGACTGGAGGGTGAATGCCGTTGGCAAGAACGAAGGTAGGTGCGGAGGTGAAAGTAGCAGCGCTAGAGCGGCAGCAGAGGGGCTGAATCGGAGGGTGAAGGTGGGTCGACCGAGAGAGTAACGGAGCCGGTAGACCGGTAGACCGGCAGAACGGCAGAACGGCAGAACGGCAGCCAAAGCGGGAGGACGAGAAAGCGAGAGGGTTCGAAACGGTGGATGACGTTGGTCGGGGGTGAAGAAGGAAGGGAAATCGCAACGACGATCAATACTTCGCCACGCCTCGCGCCACCACCTATTCTGCCAGAGCGAAGCTTGACTTTCTCGACCGTTTCGTCTCTCGGTCAAGAATGGAAACCGTCCTCGATATCTCGCCGCTCCGCGTCCAGCTTCCCCTCGCGACGTTCTTCGTCATTCGGATACATCGATCGCGCGTCTTTCGCCAACCTCGTCGGGTCTCCGCCTCTCTCCGCCGCCGATCGCGCGCTTTTCCGCCGCTTTCCCGTCGCTTTTCCTCCTCTCGCTGGCCTGCCCGTTTACCCTTCGCAGAGTCCACGGATATCCGCGACCCGATGGTGGTTCGCTCGTTTCCTCGTTTCCCCGTTTCCCCGTTGCCCCGTATGTCGAGCAGAGAGTGAGAGAGAGAGAGAGAGAGAGAGAGAGATGGCGTATGCGACGAAACGTTAGGAAGCGGTTAGGTACACATGACCCCGTTCCACGAGGTCACGATACGGGGGGGATGCGCGAAAACGCGAGATGGCAGCACGCTGCGGCGGACAAACAAAAACTTTTTACTATCCTCCGCACCTTTTTATCTTCCCCTACCCGTGCTCTACGCACACGCGATCGTTCTACGTCTACGCGATCCTGAAACCGTCGCACGCTTTATTTACCATCGGCCTGTTAGCGCGCGCTGTTCGATAAGAGGAAACTCGACCGGAATACCCGGGGCCGTTTGGAAAGGGCGTTATTTCGAGCAACGAGACGAGGATCGATCGATCGATAGGGAATTTCCAACACGGAGAGACAGAGGGAAATCTGGAAAGAAAATCTCGGACAGCGAAACGCACGCGGAACGGACGGACACCGAGAGCGATCGTTGACCCGTCATTGAAAGCAACGTCGAAGCGAACAGCTCGTTTTTGTTAGCAAACACGGACGGGACGGTGGACGCCTGGCGTGGTCGGTACGAGTTCGGGGAATCGGGAAGGACGCGTACGAGGGCAGCGTCGTAACGGGAATGGTAGTACACACGAGAGTGGTCGTCGAGTTATCGCTTCGTTTTCCAAAGCCGATCGCGAGGAACGAGCATCTCGCCAAGAGCCAATGTTCCGCGTGGACGGAAGCAACGGATGCCCGACCCGTGAATTAAGGTCACCAGCCAACACCGTGGCAACGCGAGAGACGTCGTCGATACGATCGCGATTCAACCGCGAATTCGATTCGCCAACCAGGAGGACTACTAGCGTTATCGCGAGGTCGACGCGATCGCGTGCCGAAAAGCGGTTCCCTTTGCCCGACGAGACGTAAATTGCGGTGAAACGAGGCACAGGACGGGTAACGCGTTTCGTGAAAAACAGGAAAAAGATAGAGGAACGGGGAGAGGAAAGGGGGAGAGGAAAGGGGGATGGCAGGTGTAAACACGGGTCGAGACGGTTCGCGGTGCGTGATCCATTATCGCGAATTTTCCCTCCGTCACGGTGCTTCCGTCCGCGGAAAGAATATATCCTCGGCGAGAAAGAACCGGCGCGGGCGAAATTTTTGCACGCCACGCCCACCTTCTACCTCGCATCGGCAAACGCGATGCGCGCGTTATTCGGAAATCGCGTTCGTTCGCGATTCCAGAAGCCAGGCGATAAATAATAACGCGGCGTTATCGCGGATGAACCGAAGGAGGAAAAGCGAGCGGAAGGGTGGCAGCACGGAACGGTTCGGTGCGGAAAACGCGTGGCGCGTGTCGCTTTTGCGCGATGCGTAAACAAGGCATACCCGCATGGCTCGGTGGTGGTGCTCGTGCAACGATCGCGCGGTCTACGCGCGAGCACGGTTTCGTCCTCGCCGACGTTTGACCGGCCAACTCGACGATGGCCAGAGCCCTCTCTATACGGATAACGGCATGGACGAAACACGACCAGGAAGCCGAAGGGATCGCGAATCCGTCGAATCGATGACCGACGATATTCGCGCTCGAGAGGACGACGAACGAGAAGAGGTTAACGACTGGCGCGTCTCCGTAACGCGTGCCGAAAGCGGAGAGATATAACCGTTCTCTCGGGTATTATCGATCGCGAACCGCGAGAATCGAGGAGGCCCGATGCAAAAAGCCCGATTGTCGGTCGGTGCGGCGAAATTATTGCCGGAGGGGGGGCGCGGAACTAAGAACGGCGGTCGGTGCGAGATCGGTGGTCGCGCGAACAAGTGGCCGACACGAAAATAACGCGCGCGACGCGCACCGCTACTAATGCGCCTCGAGGCAACGTGCTCGCAATGGGAACACCATAAGAGGTTACGGTTTAGCGAATTAATCGACTCGTCTACCGAAAGACCGCGCGCGGAGAACCGAGCGAGCAGAGAAACACGCAGGAACACGGAATCCGGGAATCGGGGAAAACGCGACAGCCGATGCGCGATGCGCGACGAGGCAAAAGGAAAACGAGCGAGAGAGAGAGGGAGAGAGAGAGAGACGAATGGACGGACAGAGGAAGAACGAGAGAGAGAAAAGAAAAACTGGCGAGCGAGCGAACGAGCGAGAGGGCGAGCAAAGGAACGCGCGAGCGAGCAAAGGAAAGAGGAAGGCACGGGGGAAAGAGGGAGGATAGAGGGACGGAGAAGGGGAGGGCAGGGAGGAGGCGAGAAGGAGGTAGAAGGAGGGAGAAAGAGGGAGAAGGAGGGAGAAGAGATCGGAAGGTCGGATCGGAGGTTAACCTGTCAGTTGACGGATCGATGGTTGGTGCGAGCGTGATGAGCGGCGACGAGTGAAAGCGAAAAAAGCAAAGAAATTATATAATAATTCGGCGTAGCGAGAGTACTCACCTCTGTGATGATGGTGGTGGTGGTGGTGGTGGTGGTGGTGGATGCGTGGCAGCCGAGCACGGTAGTGCCAGCCGATCGGCGATCGCCGCTAATCGCTGCGAGTTCACCTAGTTCACCGTCTACCGCACCAGAGAAAACCTTAGAATTTATCACGAAAACATGATCGGGTAACTTTGATAGAACGGCTAAGGAAGGAGCTCACTCTCGAAGCACCAACACTCGATGACGTCATGCCACCAGCGGCAACATGGAGCCCGAAACGCGATAGGACGCGGGCTCGAGACACTCGAGAGTTAGGTCGCGCTCGCTCCGAGCTGTCTCTCCCTCGAGCTAACCTCCAATCGCCGCTTCGCCGTTACTCACCGATACGCGAACCCTTCGTCGATCACGACCGGCTGACAACGACCGACTCCCGTACACCGACACCTCTCTCCTCTCTCCGCTCTCCTCTCTCCTCTCTCCGCTCTCCTCTCGCCGAGCTCTACTCCGCACCGCGCCGCTTCGCTTCTCCTTCTCTTTCTCTCTTTCTCTCGAGGCTTCGCGCTGCGAGGCACTACCGCACACCGTTCGCTAGACTAGAATCCGCTTCGCTCCGCTCCTTTTTCCACGTGATTTCCGAGAGACCGCTAATAGAGGGCAGTCGCGTGCGCGCCCCCCACGACTGCGATTCCTTCACTGCGGGAAACCAGAGATTCGAAATCGAAGCTGCGCGTCGCGCTACCTCCGCTGCTTCTCCTACAGAGGACGTCGCGTCCAACCCGAATAGAGCCGACGCGTCTAGTCGTGTCGAATCGTCGCGGATCGTAACGAATCGTGCCGTGTCGTTTTTCCTCGTGTCGCGTCGTGTCGCGTCGTGTCGCGTCGCCACAACGACGCCACCGTCCTAATTTTCCTAACCTCGCTTTTCCACTCGTACGCCAAACGTTTCTTCTTCCTTCACTTTGCCCACGCGACACCGCCGATTCCTTCGATTCTTCTTCGTTATTATTCTATCGATCCGATTCTTCCCCTCGCATTCGTCCTTCGTGCTTCGTGTGTGCTTCGCCTTTGCTCCGCGCGCTCCGTTCGGCTTCGCCTCTACCTTCTTCCCGTTTCCTCCTCTCTCTCACTCTCTCTCCCTCTCTCTCTCTCTCTCTCTCTCGCTCGCTCTCTCTGTGTCTCTCTTTCTCACTCTCTCTTCTTCTCCTCTCTTTCTCGCGAGAGACAGCCTTTCGACCACCGACGCAAACGAAACCGTTCGCGACTCCACTGGCCCGCTATCCGGATCCACTCCCCCGTTCTCGCCCACTTTCTTCTCTAAACGCGCGCGCGACTACGCGATCGCGCCACGACCGAAATAATCGCTTCCTCGATCGACCGTCGACCACGACCTTGCGCCATTCCGTCGCGCGACGCGCCACATTCGCGCGCCTAGTCGTTGTCGCCGCTGTCCATGCTGTCCACGCTGTCCACGCTACGGAGATGCCGCCATCGCCATACGTATCGCGTATCAATCAGATCGACGCGGTTCAACTGGACGAGGAGATCTACAAGGTGCTTAGAAACCAAGCGAGAGAAATCGGCAAGTATCAACCGATAGAGAAGATCGATCGATGGCAACCCGAGATCGACGCGCTTCTCAAGTATCTCGTCTGGAATTTCTCGCTGCGACGCGGAAAATCGACCTTTGGTCAGCAACTGCTCGATTTGCATTACGAGAATATCACCGGCCCAAAGTCCGTGCTCTACGCGATTTTCACCATCGGTCCGGCCTACGTGCGAGACAAACTCGCCAACGCGACCGGCGCCAATCCTAATTTCACCGCGGTGCTCGATCACGTCGCGGACCTCGCCAAGCTGCTCGAGTTTCTCAATTTGCTGATATTTTTGCATCGAGGGACACAGCCTCGCGTGGTCGAGTATCTACTGGGCATTGCCAGTTCTTCCAGCACCGTTCACAAACCGAGAAACATCGGTTACTCCTACATGACCAGGGAACTACTCTGGCACAGCCTGATGGAATTGTTTACCACCGGTTTACCCATGCTTAACCTGCACTATTTCAAGCACGCGCTGAAGAAGCTGTTCGCCCGAGCCAGACGCGTTCGTTTCCAACGTTCCTTTCCCCTCATGGACTCTACCACCAGGTGCGCCTATTGCGGCGACACGCCGATCTTACCGATGCACGCCGGCTGTCGGCACATCTTTTGCTATTACTGTCTCAACGCTCACTTTACCGCCACCAACGAGTTCCAGTGTACCGAATGCGACGCGCGACTCGCCGTCCACGATATGAAAACGTACCAAGCGAAGGATTCGTAGCATCGGATCGTCGTCTCGTTACCTGCGTACTTTACCTGTACCTGTATCCGCGTAATTATTGTACCACCGTTATGTTTCATCCTTTGTTTTTCCTTTTTTATTAAAAATAGCAATACAAAATTTTCTTCTTTCGCTGTGACACAGCGTTTCGATTTATTCGAAAGTTTCCTTGGAAACGAAACGAAACGATACGCGATACGACGACACGCTAGCGTCGCTTCATAGGAATAATCGTATTACGGTATAAAAATATGCAAGCCAGTTTCGTATACCACCAGCGACGACACGCGTTGTTACATCTATCGTTCCGTTCGTTTGTTCGCATCGAGTCGTTTCGTTTGCTCGATGGACGGGCACGTCCTTCCGTTCCTTCCCAAACGCGATCCAACAATCGGACCAACGCGTTCCGATTCCTTTTCTCCCCTGCTTTTCCTTCCATCTGACCCCCTTTGCGTTCCTAACCTTGGCTGGAATGTTTTCTTCCTCTTTCTGCGATGATCGAGTTTACCTCCATCCATCCAGACGCCACTCGAATCTCCTACGATTACCTGAGACGTATACGTGGGTATACGATTAACGCTGCCACGTCCCGCTATAATACTAAGTCCGTTGATCGTAACAAGAACCTCGTCTTCTTCCACTCTTACAGGCACTATAATGAAAGCTATATCGAATCACATCGTTGCAGTTATTTTCTTACGCCTTAATCCTTCCTCTAACGATCAGAAAGAAACGCGAGATCGCATCGGCAAGGTATACGCAGCTAGATGGAACGCCTGTCGTTTCGAAACAACCAGACGGAACCGTCATATCCTTTCGCTTTATTCGTCCTTTCCTTTTCGAAAAATACCATTCCCTCGATTCGTACTTGGCCGTTCCGATTCGCCGATTCCGGCAAGAGAATTCGTTAAACGGCGCCCGCGCGATCCAACCTTTGCCATCGCGATAGGCACCACGCTTACGTTTCTTTCTTTACCTGCGAATCGTTTTCGTCGGAATACGAGTCGCGAATGCACCACCGTCCGCACTATATCGATACTATTTACTACTCTGCGCGTGGAAGCATGCTCCAGAAAGGCATGTTCGGTCAGTCGAGTGATCCCGTTCGATAGTTACTTTATTGCCCGTCTCTCGGTTTCTCTTCTCCTCTTCCGAATCGTGCGTTCGTTCGTACGTTTCAACGCGGTAGAAACGAAAGAAAGATGAGGAAAAAGGAGGAATGCCTTCCAACTAGGACGTGTACGAGAGAGAAAAAGAGAGAGAGAGAGAGAGAGAGAGAGAGAGAGAAAGAGAGAAAGATCGAGGAAAAGAGAAACGGAAAGAAAGATGCGTCACAAAAAAAATTTTCCATTTGCAACGTGTCAGGAAGAAAGGAAATAGAACGAACGTTTCGACTCGTACCGAAACCTTTCGAACGCTAGGTGTTAGATATCCTTCGTTGCGTTGCTTCTACGTTCTTACCTATCATCGTTTCTTTTCTATTTTTTCTTTTCTTTTTGTGTTTTTCTCCTATCTTATTTTTTCTTCCCTTTTTCTTCTTTTTGTTTCCTTTTTTTTCTCTTTCCTTTTAATTCGTCGAACAACCAGTAGTTGACTACGCGTACGTACGTATGTATATATGCATGAATGTGTATATGTGTACGTGTGTATGTGTGTGCGCGCATGCGTAAAATATATATATATTTTAGATAGGAACATCGAAAAACAATGTAACGTGTTTGTCTAAAAGAATTTATCGAGCACTGATCGATCATGCAAGAATCCCGAACGGCGAAAAATAGATACAGAAAAAGAGGAGGGGGGGAGGGGGAGAGAGAAGGAGAGAGAGAGAAAGAAAGAGGAAACGACTTGGTTGACACCGATAGAAATCCTGCGGTCATCGATCAAGCTTTTCCTCGAAAACAACGATCGACGTCGCGATCGAACGCTCTGCAACGTCCGATCGTTGCCGCGACAAAACAAAAATCACAATTTTTCGTTACGAAGGCATAGGCAAAGTATACGACAATCTTCTTTATCCGACCGACGCAACGATCGAGCAAAGAAAATCAAATTCGAACCGAATTAGTAGTTTCGTCTATGAAAGAAACGATCACCGTTCGACACGAGAGAACACGAGAGAACACGAGAAACGGGGACGATCGAGCACAGTCTTGTTATATCACACACACGCCCGCGCGCGCGCGCGCGTACATTTGCATACATAGAAAACATATAGCCTGTATTCCCTCTCTAATATTTCCATCGTTTTTCGAGCACGCGATCGTGCCGTACCAAAGAAGAATAATTTATGCTTAAAAAGACTTCACAAAAGACTTAGTCAAGAACTTTTAACGGTAAAATCGTTCGACTCGCTGGACATTCTCGATAAGTTTGACCGAGGCGACGTTTCCGACATATTTTTCGTTTCTCTTCGCGAGCGATAAAGCGTTAACTCGTATCGCTAATCGCGTCGCTAATCGCATCGCTGTATCTATCGATCGTTTAGAATATCGCGATTAACGGACGTTCCAACGCGTATGTATACCTCGAATAACAGCGATTGATTACAGCGAGCATAGCTTGGGCTCGTTACCAAACGCTTTCGAGACGTTCGTATACTCGCGTGAAGAAAAAAGAAAAAGAAAAAAAAAAAAAAAAGAGAATGTAGAAAAAAATGGTTTAAAATATTAATAATTTACGTAGAACGAGTATCTTGCTTTCGTAAAACAACTACCGTCGTAAATCGATTATAAACGCGTACATGCAGCTCGTTGCGCGAGGAAAAAAAAAATATCGTTCCCCGTATGTTCGTCGAGAGTACAAGAAATACACGTTGAGAAAGAAGAGAAAAAGAAGCGAAAAGAAATCTCGACGCACTCGTACGACGGCCGATTATCGGAAATTATACGGCTGCAGAATCGTTCGGCAGGTGTTGTACGATAATGATACAGTTAAATTCGAATTAGAACTTGAACGGGTATTTCGAGAAAGTCATTGGCGTGTAAAACGATCGATCGTAAGGTAAACTACGCGACTGACTCCACCCGAAATATCCACTCCTCCGACGTTCGAGGTCTTGTTAATCGCCCCCTTCGATTCGCTTCGATTCGTGGAATTATCATTTGCGATATAACTCGACGTACATTCGGCGTCCTTCGCGAATGAATAATAAATACTTTATTACTTTGTAAAACTCGAAAACGCGGCGCCGCCGCGAGAAAAGCCGAAACTCGCGGCAGTTTGCGTCGTTTCGATCTCGGCCGTTAGTTCCGAGCCTAGTTCGATTTCGCCGAATTTCGAGCTTAGTCGAGATTAAATATTTTAACTTCGCTAAGGCGAAAGGCCGCCGAACGTACGGGACATCCCTCGCCCATCGCGCGTGTCGAGTTTCGAAGCCTCGCTTCTTCGATGCTCGGTTCTACTCGTCGAACCGTTATCGCTAATTTATACTGTACGCCTATCGTTCAATCGCATCACGAACTCTTCACCGTTACACAAAAAACACATACGATAGAACGCGTCGAACGACGCCACTCGTTCAAGCATCTCGATTCGCGTTCCGTACAAAACGATATGAAAACCATTGATTCGTCGAATATCGCGCGACTACGATAGAAAGATCACTAGCAACATAAAAAAAAGCTAACGAAACGAAAGTAGTAACGAAAGTAGTTCTTAACCTAAGGCACCTATCGACCGCGTGAATCGAGGACTGCAGGCAAAAAAAATAGATACATACATATATATATATATATATATATAAAAAGAAAAAAAAAAGAAAATAAGGCGGAGCAAACAGTCCCCGATCACAAAAAGAATCATCCGTCTATTCATTCGGTGCCTAGAATCGCAAATTAACACATCAATTATACATATCTTGATCCTACCGTCGAGTCGGCGAATAGGCCCGCGTGATTTCATTTCGATTTCGATTTCGATTTCGATTTCGATTTCGATTTCGATTTCGATTCCAATTGCGATTCCGATTTCGATTTCGATTCTCGTTCCAAAAGTCTCGAAACGCAATCGAGTCTACGCACGAACGCGGGACCAGGTTTAAGTACAACGCGGTCCTGTCTAAATCTTTCTTGGATTCGTTGTCACGAATTTTGCGAAACTCGCAACGCTTATTCGTCTTTTCTACCATTTGGTATCCAGATTACACTTCTCTATCGACGACGAAGTCGTTGACGTAGTCGTTTTCCGTTCCGCACCGGGAGCCGCGCTACCGCAGAATGGACTAGTCCGTTTGTTCATTTCTGAAAACGAAGCGACATCGAGTGAAAAATGAAATACGAGCTCGTTACCGATACGACAGCGTGACTACGTTTACGTACCAGCGATTAACAGCATTATTTTACGTCTTGCACCCCAAGCGGTTATCCCGATTTCGCATAGATCTTTCTCCGTGAGCGAAGGAAAGGTAGCCATGTCCACTTCGTGAGACGTGAACAGGCCTAGCGAACAGAAAACAAGCGGCGTATATGGCGATGCGGACGAGTAGAAGAACGGGGAGGCAAAACGGAGAAGGCAAAGCGTGCAGCAGCAGGCAGGTGTTACGCGTGTATCGTCGTATAGCGTGAAGCAAAAAGGCGAGAATTTATCGGAATAAGCAGTCGGACACAAATGGATCGTCGGTTTCGCACACTCACGTATGTACTTTTCCAATCCAATGCTCGTCAGCATGCTGGTTAAATCATCGTATCGATGAGACGTGATTATGTGAGACGTGAACAGGCGTATGTACTTTTCCAATCCAATGCTCGTCAGCATGCTGGTTAAATCATCGTATCGATGAGACGTGATTTTGTTCAAATGCGAAGTGGGCGTGTGCTCCATGTAGTTGGAACTAATGCCGATCTGTCCAACGCGGTCTTTGCCGGAACCGATTCCAAAGTCAATCTCTCTGCTGAACACCGGCGTCGTTGGTTCCTTCCACAAGTCAGACGGATGGGAGGTGGTCAGTTCCTAGGTTTCCAAAAAGAACCACTGTTTTCGATTTATCGCCGCGCCCGTTGATCGAAATAGGTATCGAATAATCGCTTACCTTGTTCAAATCGGTCGTACTTATAGGAGGAATGGATTGACTGAGTCCGTAGCCGGACCAAGCGGACGTAGGAACGCGATAGTCGTTGGAACTTGGCTTGGTTTGAATCGCTTTCGCCGCTAGTAATTTCTTTTGCTCGTAGTCGAAAGGGACGAGATTCTGTTGCGCTGCCATCTCCAGCGATTTCTTCTCGCAACCCGGTGCACGACGATCGGATACCGTAAGATCGGACAACATGCTGGATAAATCTGTCGAAAAAAAGTATCGACTTTACGAGGATGATCGTTTTCCGTCGACTTTTACGACGGTTAAGACAACACGGCGGTGAATTCATCGTGGTTACTTACCTAAATTGGTACTATTCTCGGTAGGATTGACCGGAGATATGTTACGAGGACTGATAGCCGGACTAGACAGAGAACTGGAAACGCTGCTCAACGACGAATAAGCTGCCACGACGAGATCGAGATCGAGAGAGAGAGAGAGAGATAGAGAAAAAGAGAGAGAAAGAAAGAGATAAAGACAAACGATTCGTCGACTCGTCGGTTGGTATACATAGTCGGAGAAAATAAGAGGAAACAAGGCCGGAAACTTACCGCTGCCTTCTTTGCTGTCCGCCAAAGAATTACCGTTCAATCCGTGAATACTGTGAAAGCCGGCAGGCACGTTCGAATTAAGTTGTCCGATACCGGTAAAAGCGTGATTTTGCAGTCCATGGGAATGAGGTGGCATCGCGTTGTTGTGCATCACGTGCTGCGTGGTCAGCAGATGATTTAGGTGCGGGTACGGGTAAGAATGATGAAGCGGCAGTGGGGAAAACATGGACGGTATCGGTGGTAAACCCCAATGAGGCGACAAACCCATAGGATTCGGCGAATGAGGTACAGGCGACACGCAGTACGGAGGATTCTGCGTGTTTATCGTCAATATATCCGAGAGACTGCCAATCAGATTGTTGGGACCTGCGAATCACACGCGGTCGCGTTTTTAGTCGCTTTCGCGCTAACCGGACGACTCTCTCGGATCGGCAGAATCGAAATGACACTCACTGGAACCGTTGCTAGCGTTTCCCTGAAAGATATTGGCAGCGTTCGGGATGTGATAGGTGGCAGGTATCTCGGCGTGTACCCTCGGCTCTTCCAGACCCAACAGTTGTTTTCTCGCTTCGTAAATATTACTGGCGTTTCGTTCGATTCCTTTGATGATCACGGACAACGTGTTCTGTTTCGGTTTGTGCCTCACGTTTATGAACACGTCCAACGATTGCATCAATTGGGAAACGTTCTCGGTATCGACCGAGGACATGGACTCTTCGGGAAGGTCGAACATCAAGACCAAAGGCAGAGAACCCTGTAGAAAAATTTCCTTTGCTCTTAAAAGATACCATTTTTTTTTACGTCATCTTTAACCGAATACGCAAACACGAGCGGCGTTATCGGTCCGATGGCATTAACGGAGGCCGTGCATGCATGCGTGCGTGCGTGCGTGCGTGCGTGCGTGCGTGCGTGTATACGTGCGTGCGGTCGCGCGCTCGCGTACGAGAGCAAGAGAGCGGGGGCAGGGGAGATTGAGAGGCGGTATAAAGGAACGTTATAAAGGAGAAAAGAAAAGCAAAGAGATAAGAGGTTCACCGATTGCCGATAAGAGAATCGAATCACGGGAACAACATGACCTACCACTAGCTGTTGCCGGGCCAAGTAAACGTTGTGGATGCCACCTGTGATGGTAACGTTGCTCTTCTTCAAGCTCGGTATGTTCGGATCCCCGGCGTCGGGGAACATTATCTGAGTGCCCGTGCGCTGCATGATCATCTTCAAATTACCGCTCTGTTTGCCGAGCACGATGCCGTGATGTTGCGGCGATATCTCCATCGACATTTGTACTTGTATTTGACTCTACGCAGAGGCGAGAAGACACGGTGAACATCGAGGACGCGAGGTCTGCGGACGAGAAGGTGAAACGAAACGGCGGTTCACTTACAGCTAAGTTTTGGCACATGTAGTGAATGAGAAGCACGGTCGCTTCCTTCACTTGCGATACCTCCCATTCGCAACCCTTAACCACGACCAGGGTGGCGTGCAATTTCGGTCTGGTACGAAACATCACTTGGACGTTGTATTTCTCCTGAATTTTAACCACGTACGGCGAAGTTGAATCCGGCACGGCCTGCGACGCGCCCATGATCGGCAACTCGAAGGAAAAGATCAGAGGCGTGAGATTCCTGACGCGTGCATGGGCCCGTTCCACGCCTTCCATCTCACCCGCGATCGACACCTGATTGCTCTTCTCCTGATGATTGCTCCGATTACTGTCCGGAAAATGGATGTGACATCCAGTTTCCTCCATCACCCGTTTAATCGTCAGTCCGCCCTTTCCGATGATGTGCGAGTGGTCGGTGTAACTAACGTCCAGCTTCATGGTTACCCTGTTGCTTTGCCTCGTGTCCAAAATTTCCATTATCTTCTCCTTCGCTGCTCGCACGTCATCCGGTCGACCCGCGACCTTTATATGCGGATCTTTCTTCGACTTTGCTCCGATCTTCAGACGTGACGGCCACGTAACGAAGGTGTTCGTTTCCTCCATGATGTTATGAAAAAACGTGTCCGCTGGCTTGGGTCCGTCATTATCACCTAGAAGCATCTGTTCCAATTTCCGGCGATCAACGCGAAATCTTTCTTGCTGCAGGTCGTATGGAATCGAAAGGGGCGATCGGCATGGCGGTAGCGAGCGTTGGCGAACGGAAAGATGGAGAGCGATCGGCATCGATATCGGAGAAGCGCGATGGCGGGAGCACGGTTCAACGGCGAAGTCGGTCGAAACCGTAGCGGATAACGCGACGGGAAAGATAAATTTGGCCGATAAACAGCGGCAAATCGAGCGACATAGAGAGCAATGGAAAAATACGCACCGTCCTCGACGTTAGAGAACCGTTAGACTTTCTACGCGGCATGTTGACTTTTGCACTCGACACTTGCAATATGCACGCGATCCCAGGCGCGTGTTCGATCGTCCATCGAACGTTACGTAAAAGCCTAGCCAGCTAGGATCTATACGCGCGCTTGATTTTTCGCCGCGTTGTACGACGCCGCCTTCGCGTGGTCCTCGATCGAATTAGTTTCGAGCGTTACTTACCACTCGCGGAAAGGTGAACGCTCCCTAAGCGAGAACGTCGCGGTGAAAGATGACGCGGATATTACTTTTCGTTTCGTTGGTCGCGGAGGCGATCGAGAGAAGAAATCGCGGGCATCGATGGCGTTTCGCACAGGTTCGGTAGAACGCGGTGCGCCCAGCACGGCGAGGGAGTACCCGAGGTGGGAGATAGGAAAGGTGGCGGGTGCGGGGTAGAGAAGGGAAGCGAGAAGGAAAGAGCAATTTGCACGGTCGGTGGACGAGGACTGCGTTACGCCGGAGATAACGGTACGCGGGAAGGAAATACAAGGCGGCCGATTCGGCCGGTCGGTTAACGCGAGCGAGACTGGTTCGCACGACGTCTCGCTTTCTCGCCGAGGAATTCGCGGGACGCCGTCGTCTCCGTATAAATAGAATGCCTTCTTCTTCCCTATGCGTCGCGGTTACATCCCTTTCCCCGTCATTGCCCCGTCATTGCGTCCCGTCATTGTCCCGTGATCGTCCCGTCGCGTATTCGTCCGTTTACCACCGTGAGGTGCCATACGAGCGCCGTTAGCACGCGCGCCGCGTGCGATTCGAGGGAAAAATCGGCGGTAACACGGCGGAAAGATCTTTGGGGAAAGTTTCGCTGTCCCGCGATCGCGTAAAAATAAAAGTCACCGCGGCGAGTGTACGGGAGGGTTACGCGCGGCAAACGTATATCTACGTCAGGTGCAACGACCTCGGTGTTCTCTAGCTTTTCGTCCTCGAGAAAGGACGTCGAGCCGTGGTCGGAGCGATCGTTGGAACGCTCGATGGGCGAAAAATCCACGGGCGACTCGTTCGTGCAACGAATGCGAGATATCGATTACATCGGTCAGACGTTACAAAGGTCTCGCCGCGCATAACGCGTCGAGCTTTTTATCGGCCGACCAAGATTATCGGCGATAAGAGCCGGGGAAAGGTTGGCGTACGACACTTGGATTGCATGGATTTTTTTGCAGGTCGAAAGTGGAAATTCGATTTGCGAGGTCACCCCGGTAATCTCGCGGCTCGCGAATGACGTAAGCACGGTATATCGGTAAAAAGCAACGAATCGGCCACTCTCGTCTTTTCTCGCCTCCGAGAGATACCACGGGCGAATCTCCGTTGGCGAGAAAGCAACGAAAAGACGAAACAGCGAAACGGAAGAAAGAGAAAAACGTGGAAAGATACGGTTGCTTACCCTCGTGTCCAAAATTTCCATTATCTTCTCCTTCGCTGCTCGCACGTCATCCGGTCGACCCGCGACCTTTATATGCGGATCTGTAAAAGAACGACGAAACGGATTATGCAACGAGACGACAACGACAACGACTACGCGTTATCCTTTCGAGCGGCAGCGGCGAGGCGACTCGCGACGGAACGCGCGCGATCGGCCGAGCGTGTGTGCCGGAGTAGAACCGGTGGAACCGACTCGGACCATCGGTCAACCATCCATTACACCCCGTGCGCGGCTTTTAATATTCTCCGAGCGCCGCTTCTTCGAATATCCTCTCTTCCTGGATACCAGACACTCCGAATTCGAGGACGATCACGCATACGCCTAGTCATGCGAACGCGATAGTCGTCGAATCGCGGCTCGATCCGCTAGATCCGACCCTCTCTCTCTCCTCTCTCTCTCTCTCTCTCTCTCTCCCCCTCTTTCTCCTTCTTCACCGGACGGAAGAGAGAGAGAGAGAGAGAGAGAGAGAGAGAGAGAGACAGCGCGCGTTCGCGTTCGTAACGAATAAACAGAGCGAAATGTAAAGAAGAAACGCGCAGGGATCACGAGTGGAAACTTTATCGGGCGAGTGTTCGTTCCGAAATTCGCGACCGTTTGGATTTGGAAACGAGAACGGCGAGCAAAGAGGTAAGTTGGATGGAAAGCGTTGATCGATGCCGCGGAAGAAAGGACGAAAGAAAAGCCATACAGGATTGCACGAAACGGAGAAATTTTGGCAAAAGATCGATAGCCAGCGACGAATTGGCATAAAAATAGCGAGGATACGGAGAGGATAACGAGCAAGCCGGTTGCTAAGAGGAGAAAACTCGACCCGAATCGAAGCGGTGACTCAAAAATAGATGGCGAACGATCGCGCGGACGACCTTCGCAAATCTGCTAGCTGCGCGACGGAGATAACGCGCGCGCGACCCGCCGACTCTCCATCCTCGCACGCTCCATCGTGACCGACAGTTTGCTCGTTTCGAGAGAACGCGAAACACGCGCGATCGGCCATCCAGATACAGGCGTCCGCGGCGACTACGGAACATTTTCGTCCATGTAATCCCGCGCTCTGGTTGCGTAACAACGAGAAGGCATCGATAAACCGCGACGGTTCGAATTTTTTCGTCCGCGTACGCGTTACATACATCGGCCACCTCGATTCGCGATATTCCTCTCTTCGTTCCTCCTCGAGAAAGCTGCTCGGTCGACGCCGAAACTATCGAGATTCGACCGATCCCGATGGTCCCGCGACCATGGACGTCGTGGTCGCGATCGCGATCGCGGTCGTGGCAGCTACGAAATCCGGGACCATTTCGCGTGGATCGAGTTATCTCGACGAGCGACGTATCGTTGCTATGCAAGCGAAGATAAACTTCGTCACGCGTATCGCGAACCGACTTTCGTAACATTCTCATTTCGCCGAGACCTCGATGAAGGGTAACCTTTTCTCCGGCTAAACAGGCGACCCGAACGAAATTAAATTAGATTCCACTCGCTTCGTCGCGATGAAACTCTAACGTGAATCCGCTACCTCGGCTGCCACGTCCGATACGCACTCCATCATCGAGCCACTCGTCGTTTCACGCGATACCATCGATCCACGATACGCGTGTTTATCGACGAAAACCGTATCCAACGATAAAGAGAAAGATTCGGTGTTTGCCGAATCGAATCGCGATTCCCCGAGATTCCACGTCGTCGTCGTCGTCGTCGTCGTCGTCGATTACTCCGTTCGACGTTGTTACGTTTATCGGCCGGTGAACGAAACGAACGCGGGGCTAACGCCGGGACCGTGTCGAACACTTTGCCGGACGGGGAGAGGAGGAGACGCGGAAATCCTTGCATAATTTCGCGTTCGTCGATTGGAGATACGTATACGGATACGGATACGGATACGGACACGCTCGACCTCGTACTCGACCTTTTAAAATCTCGAAAGTGGAATACACAGCGCTCCGTGGACGAATGTCATTGTGACGCGCCTTTGAGTCGTAAACCGATGCACGCGTACGCGTTACGCAGCCGAATTAGGATGAATCGACTCGGATCGACAGCGACGACGACGACGAGGACGAAAGACGAGGACGAATGGGTCCCGATATCGAAACGACTGGAAATTTAACGACGAAAGGGGGATTCTTCATGGGCAGTAAGATTGGTGGTAGGAGAGGTAGAAAATCGGTAGGAGGTAAAACAGACGGGGACCTATTTATACCGGATTACGCGCGGTTTGTCGTGCACAATGGGTTTGTTCGGTGGCAGTGCACGAAGGAGAAGAGGCGACGAACAGCTGTTCGGGTCACGAGGAAGGGATGAATCACCGAAAAGTTTCCATGGCGTGTGGAAGGCGAGGAAAGGCCACCGAGCAAACGCCCGAGCCGGAGCCGGAGCCGGAGTCGTACCCGTACCCGTACGAGCGAACGGGACGACGACGACGAACGACGATGGACGACGAAACGTTTCCGTTCGACGTCGCTCGACTCTCGGTCGCGAGTCGCGAGTCGCGACTCCGACGCACGCGATACGCACCGGGAAACGCGTTTTACTTTGCCGACACGCGCTACTGCGCTAGACCGAGAGTCGTTTCGTAATCACTTTCGATTAATGGGTGCGCTCTAATTATCGGGGCTGCTGCTGCTGCCGCCGTTGCTGCCGTTGCTACCGCTGCTACGTTCGCGTAATCGTCACGCGATTTCCTCGACGACGGACGTCGCGAGCGAATCGAAACGAATTCGCGCCGGTTTGGACCAAAAGGACCAAAGGTCTCCCTCTCTCGCGCCGTTCTCGATCGGTACGGGAGGAGAAAAATTACGCGAACGCTGGCGTATAGCACGGTGGAGAAAGAATCGCGCGACGCGAGAATTCGCGTACGCGAACCGCAAATAGACGTAAGAAAATACGCGATACCAACGCGTCAGCTGGCGAGCCAAGGCAACGCAACCTATCCACTGACGTAATCGTTCGCCGTGTATATGTAACGAGGTTTCGGTCGGTAAACGATAAACGGAGCAACGGGAACGGGAACGAAGACGAAGAAGACGAAGACGAAGACGAAGACCGGCAGGAAAAGTAGAGCCGTGACGAAGCAGGAACCGCGACCGATGGATCCCGTACCGCCAAGGTCGACGGTGTCGTCGAACCTAGGTACAACATACCACCTACGACGCGTCGCGATCGCGTCATCGCGTTATGCATCGTTTCCGGTTAGTCGAGCGACGTGCTCGCGCGCACGCGCGCACGCGAGCTCTTTTCTCCGATAGGATCGAAATGGTTGGTACGCGAAACAGGATGCAGAACTTTTCGAATCCTCGAACGCGATTCCGTGCAACGAGCGGCGGCGAACGTGCTTCGGAGAAGGTACGAGTCGGCGCAGGCGCGGACTTACCTTTCTTCGACTTTGCTCCGATCTTCAGACGTGACGGCCACGTAACGAAGGTGTTCGTTTCCTCCATGATCTGTAATAAATGGAAAAGGTCCAGTTTAATCGCGTGAAACTGCATTGCAATCGCGCGCGTATGCGTGCGCGCCGGCCATCGAGAAATCGGTCAGACCGTCCGTTAGGCCAACGACGCGCGTATAATTCCGCGAGGATGGCGAAAACACTCGAATATCGAACGTTACCACGGTCATCGTTGTCGACTGGTGATGGTATCTCGATCGGTATCGATCTCCTTAGCGAGACTCGATGAACAATCGGCCAACAGTCGGCCAAGAGTGGGTGAATCAGCGGCAAGGAGAAAGAGAGGAAAAAACGAAACGATAGCGCGGAAGGAAGAAGAAGAGAGCAAAGACACTCGGCTGCCACTTTTGTCACGGTCACTGTTCGCTGCGATTAACTGGATATCTCAAACGAGAGACATGACCGCGTCGCGCGATCTCTTCGGCAACGAGGAAGCCTGGCTCGGATCGGGACCGAAGTAGAAAGAATCTGGAATGAGAGGAGACAGCTCCGGGTGACGTACTTTCACTGCCACGACTGTCGAGAGCCGCGGAACGTCCGGCCGCGTTATCCGTTCACTTCATCGTGACTATCCGATACTCGCGCGCGCGCGCGCGAGTGCACGATCCGCGCGATCGCGCGAGTCGACGTGCCGACGACCACCACGACGACCACCACCACGACGACCACCACCACGACGACGACCACGTCGATCGTTACGTACGATCGATGGATCTTCGTCAACGATTTTTCTATCGCGATATCTTTTTTTTCCAATTCCACCGCCCTGGTCGCCGCCCCCCGCCCTCTCGAATCCAAGACTTCCTATCGGTGGAAACGCTACCGGTCACGAGCGTTCGATCGAGGGGGCTCTGCTCGTTCTCCGGATCGGCTACCGGCTAACCGAGTCAACGTCGAGTAACGTTAGCGCACACTTTTCGCACAAACACGGTAAAAGGTTTGGCGGCGGTCGGTAACTGGAAACGGTAGTTTCCAACGTGGAGAATGGAAAGCCCGTGGAGAACCGTAGACGCGTGGAGAACTATATCGCGGGGGGACGGCTGGCGACGGTTTCCACCGTGACCGGCTGGCTGTTTCTCGTAGGAGCAACGATATATTTCCGAATCCACGGCTACGCAAGTTTCTCGTTTTTACCGCGTCCGGATCACTGGCACGACTGACTGACTAACAGCAGATAATGTAACGGGACGGCTCGGTGAAGCACCTCCCACTCATCGTCGTCGCGCCGCTAGCCGTCTCCGTTCCTCCGGGCCCTCGTTCTCCCTCCACCGATGCCGCCGCCGATGCCGCCGCCGATGCTGCCGCCGATGCCGCCGCTGCGGCCGAGAAACGACAGAGCAGAAACCGAGCAACGCGGTGGCGACCCGACCACCACGGACCAGAACATCTCGCCCGTTTCCGCCCGTTTCCGCCTCTTTCCACGGACCTCCTTCTCCCTCTCTCTCTCTCTCTCTCTCTCTCTCTCTCTCTCTCTCTCTCTCTCTCTCCTTTACTCACTCGCTCTCTCGTTCCGTCTCCTCGCCTCTTCGCCGCGACGATTTAAAGAGCCAAACGCGAGAACAGGTAGTTTTCAGCACAGCCCGGCCGCACGATTCACCCACCTACCCGGGGAGACGACGTTGGTCTCCGTTTTCCATGGAAATGGAACGATTGGCGGGAGCAAGAGGAAACGCGAACGAGAACGCGGCCGGATTGGAATCGAGACACACGAGTGCGAGCAAACGTGGAACGAAGCTGAGCGAGACCGGACAAATACGTGGAAGTAACACGACCGGAAAGTTTCACGGTCGGTCGTTCGATGGAACGCGTGAATCTCCTTCGAACGCGGTTACCTGGAAGCGCGCGAGGTATATTTTGCGACCAGGTACCATCGTAAAAGTTTCAACGGGCAAACCTTTCCACCCGATTTACAGAGGCAAAGGCACATTTCGGATATACGCGTACCACCGGTGTACAGGTCAATTTTATTCCACCGCGACATTTCTCCCTCGTTAAGCTTCACTTCCGCGTACTCTTGTCCCTTTGTATTAGCCTCTCGGAAACGGTGTGTGCGCGCGTACCTGAAAAACGCGTTCTACGTTTCTCGACAACGGTATATAGCTAGACCGAATTACTCGCACCGGCGTAACTATTCTTCAACCGGATTATCCTTGGACGAAGATTTACGCGACACCTGTTACCAGCCTGCGCGCGAAACCGATCGGTTCCCGTGAAAAGTCGCCACCTACCGCGACGCGTCCCTCTACCGCGATCGTCCGCGCTCGCAAAAGCGCACCACCATTCAGACGAATATTCGTAAAAGTTGGCACCGATGACTACCGAGAGGATAAATAGAGCTCGGCGTCCAGTGACTCTCTCGTTAAAATTACGTACCGCGTGTAACGTGGTATTTCGAGAGGACCTATCGCGACACCGATTCGCGTTGGCACGCGACGCCCTTTAACGAGCGGAATGGCTATTTCGTGGAAGCCGCCGAGATTCGAGTGCGTTCGATCGCGTATTTCTTCGATTCTCCACTCGGTTTCCATGAAAATAAGAGAAAACCGGAGAAAATGGAAGAATGTCGGAGATATCGATCGTTTTCTCTTGCGTACGAGCCGAGAATTCGGAAAACGAGAGAGGATAGGATCGAGCGGGTAATTCAGCGGAAACGACGACGCACGCGCGAAAAAATGTTTCGACGCAGAGGTTCGAGTGATTGGGATCGAGTGCGTAGCGGCGAGTCGTGTAAAGCCGGTCTATAAATAATCCAGCGGTGTATTTCCAGGGCCCCTTTTACGCAACGTGTCAACGATAAGGATAAGCGCGAACGTTGCCTTCGAGCGCGTTCGCCAACCATTCCCTGCACTCGCCTGCCTCTATGCGTTCTACGCCACGCGCGTTTATCCTTCTCTCCGACTATTCGCGAGTACATCGACAGCCACGGTACGCTACCTTCGCGTCTCTACGCTTTTCTCCTGCAAATTTTGTCGTAAAGATAACGATAAATTCGACTCGATTGGCATACAGCAGTAGCGACGTCGAATGAAATCGCATAATCGCGAGGTCGCGTCGCGAACCTCGATTCGCGAAGCCCGTACCATCCTTCTCCTTCTCCTTCTTCTCCTTCTTCTCCTTCTTCTTCTTCTTCTTCTTCTTCTTCTTCTTCTTCTTCTTCTCGACGCCTCTAACTTCTCTTGTCAATTTACCGAAAAAACGAGAATAAGGAGAATCGGAAAAGAAAAAGCAGAGAGCAAACTCGATAAACGTAACGGCGAGGAAATTGAGAAAAACGACGATTCTCGCGCACGCCCGTTCGAGTTTGATTGTCAGACCTAGCATCGTCCATCCGAATGTGTCGGCAAAGACGAGAAGGACGAAACGCACTTACGTTATGAAAAAACGTGTCCGCTGGCTTGGGTCCGTCATTATCACCTGTAAACAAAGCAAATTGCACGATCAGGGTACAACGAACTCTAGTTTCTTTTCTTCCTCTCTGTTTTCGCTACATTCCACTCTCGATGATGGAGGATCATACGCGAGGACGAGTAGACATTCGGAGGAGCGCGATATTAACCCGTGTCGAAATTCGCGACTCCAGCTGCGACTTTCAAACATCGATTTCGCGGTCGACACGCCAACCAAACGGATAAACTTATCGCTCGTATTTACGCGATTCGCTCGATTCCGACGCGGCTGTAAATATCTACACGGAGCGCGTCTCGATCAAAATAAACGTTACGATCGCGAGATACTCGTAATCGCGACCAACTAGCATATTTGACAGTCCCACTAATTCCGTTTACAAACAGATGATCTATTTAAATCGTAGCGTTCGGGACACACGGTCGGATTATATGCTCGTATACCGGATAAGGAAGAAAGCGAGAAAGAGAAAGACCGAGAGCGAGAGGGCGGGCGGGGGGGAGAGTGAGAGGGGGAGAGAAAGAGAGACAGAGAGAGAGAGAGAGAAAGATATTCTGTAGGAAATCGAATGACTGGCCACTCACCTAGAAGCATCTGTTCCAATTTCCGGCGATCAACGCGAAATCTTTCTTGCTGCAGGTCGTCCGGATTACCGATGCCAAGCACAGCCGCGATGTCGCACAATTCCTCGCGACTTTCGAAGCCCGATTTACCGGAAACGCTGGTCGTCATGGTGCCCTCCGATGTCTCGGACATCGTCTCCGTCGTTCTTCTCTCGTTTTGTATCACCTCGTCGGGCCTCATCTTGTCCAAATTCTTCGACACCGTGTTTCTTCACCGACTCTTCACCGTTCCAGTCTCAATCTTCCCTCTGCAGAAACAAAATCACGAAACGAAACACGATTTAGTTATTCGCTCGACTCCGGCTAATGCGCGCACGGTCAAGGATAAAGAGATCGAGGTCAACGAAAACGCGAAATCTGTCCATATATATCTCGCTCGCGGTATCGGCGCATTTTCTTCTTTTTCTTTTTCTTTCTTTCTTTCTCTCTCCCTCCTTCCCTCCCTCTCTCCCGCCCTCCCTCC